AGCTTTAGTTCTTGAACTGAGCTATTTATTAACATGTAGTCGGCTGCCAAGTTCCAATAGTCATTGAAAAAGAATATGGGCTTGTAAGTGTTATCAATCGGGTCAAACTTTACAGCTTCATCAAGGGGAGATGGTAACGAACCTGCAAAACAGATCGCTACTGATTTAATAATGAACTCATTAGGGGGAAGCAAGACAACAATTCGACTACCCTTGCTTATGAAGAATTTCATGTAAATTTTTATAAAAACATTTTACCTCTCTGCCATGCTGTTTGATCATCGACAAGACTGATCGTTAAATTGGGATGCCAATAATTCAGTACTTCAAAACTCATCACTTCAGCCTTCTTTTGTTCTTCCTCGGTCTGCTCTGTTTTGCCAGTAAGCAGATTTTGTGTTTTTTTGTAATACTTCTTCTTGTATTTGTTAAGTTGTCGTACATTATACAACACCTGAAAACTATAAACAATAAAACTACTACTATCTGGAAATTTCCAACAAAAACAGATAACATAATATACCAATACATTTCATAATATTACATGAATTTTAGTCTTGAAATAACAAAACAGGCTTAAAAAATTTGCTATGACTTGGTCGGTGTCATGATCAAAAATAACCTCTCTTTTAACATGATGCCGACTTTTACGATCAGGTGATTGATCCTTCTTTACAATGAACACATGTATGTATAATGAGCCATTATTAGCAAGAGATTTGGGAGTAGGAAACGTAGCTGATTTAGTACGTGAACCATCACCATCTGGACCAGATGTCCAGTCACTGTATGTTAGACCAGTTTCTTTCCAAAATAGTGCACTTTCGTCATCAAATTCATCGAACCTATCCTGCTGAAAATCTTCTAGACCTAACTCAGTAAAATATAAAACTGATTATGGATTGATTCCATGAGAAAACTAAACACAAAAGTTTCTACTACTAGAATAACAACTGTGTCTAATAAACGCACTTTTGGAAAGCAGAAAAAAAGAAGCGAACACCAAACACCAACATTTAAACTAACCGAATCCGAAAGGTATATATAAAGATCAAACTTCTGCCCTGGTTGGAAAAGATTTCGCGATGGCAAAGAGGCACCTCTGTTCGACACTCCCGTATTATTATAACCAATGTTACCAGACCGTCCACTCATAAAATCTGCAGCAAGAGTATTTTCACCATCTCAAACATTATGATAACTGACAAATAATCCGAAAAAAATAGCATTACTTTTTAAAAATGACGTCACGAAGTAAACAATCATAATGCGGTACAGCATCCCTTTAACGAATGTCCATGTGTCGAATCCCTGAAATGCGAACCGAAAGTATAAGGATTCTCATCTTTATTTCTCTTCTCTCATGTTTGATTCTACTGCAATTCCAAGATAAAAACTAACGGAAACAGATGCTTAAGGGTGGTTCTATCGTATTTAAAAAAAGTACTCGTTGTTGTTCTGGATTAGCTTGAACTTGGTCGCCGGTTTCAACGACCCCACCACCACCACCATCATTACTGATTTCATTGTTTCCTGACATAATGCACAATCTGTAATTCTTTCAGTGAATAGCACAGAGGAATGCGTAGAAGAAAGGGGAATATTTTCTCAATTTCTTTAAGCAAATAATACGAATCTTTCCACCTATCTTTGACCTTTCTACAGGATCACCAGTACCACCGTAACCCTAGCAACTATGACTCATTAGATTTCTTCATTCTTGGTGATGAAGGAGAGGCCAACAAAGTTTAAAGAGTTTGCATTCTCAGTCTTAAAACAAGGACAACGCAAAATAAGTTAAGTAAGGTAGACAAGGACAAAAATTGTTACCATCAACGAGAACGTATCTTATAAGAGAATGAAGAGGAAGAGGGAAAGTGTAGAAAGTAACATGCAACTGCTGTAGCAGAGAATGAGAGCTCTCCAATGTTAAACAGTGAACAGGAAGGACAGAAAGAGAGGGGGAG